GTGGTTTCAACATCATACGCGGTGCTTGAGACATTATACGCGGTCGGTATAACGTTATACACAGTACCTTCAGCATTGTACGCAGTGGTTTTATCATTATCGCATTGCTGTAACTACTTGCTGTGGTTTCAACATCATACGCGGTGCTTGAGACATTATACGCGGTCGGTATAACGTTATACACAGTACCTTCAGCATTGTACGCAGTGGTTTTATCATTATCGCATTGCTGTAACTACTTGCTGTGGTTTCAACATCATACGCGGTGCTTGAGACATTATACGCGGTCGGTATAACGTTATACACAGTACCTTCAGCATTGTACGCAGTGGTTTTATCATTATCGCATTGCTGTAACTACTTGCTGTGGTTTCAACATCATACGCGGTGCTTGAGACATTATACGAAATTAATTATTCGTTGTGCTGCAGACTCAGTGCAGAGGGCAATATTTTTGCCTAGCACAGCACTTCTCTGAGCTCACACAGATCTTCTCTGGGCCAGATGGCATTTTTTGTATTTTACGAAGCGAAAATACTCCTGTTAGAGGTGTATGGAAACTTTGTTTAGTGGCATCCTTCCACCCTCGAAATCGCAGGAAATGCCATTTCCGAGGTTCTAGATTTCAAATTTTCTCGGGGGGGCATGCCCCCGAACCCCTCTAGGAAGGTCGCACCTGCGGTGCGAGGGGTCCGCCTTCGGCGGGACGATTTTTTTCAGCCAGCTACGCCACTGCAAAGGGTGTATTGAAGTTCACCATTACGTCAAAATATAATGCCGGGACAACAAGATAATACAGCTCTAAGTTGATATTTCATAAACAAGTGATTCGATGTCGCGCACCGCGTCTGTATTCATGTAAGTGTATTTGGTGGGGGTTCCGCTTGCACAAACCAATGACGATATGTTCCACTACTTTGTTGCTACTACTTTATGGCAACAAAGTAGTGATACAAAGACTGTGGAATGCAATATATGCAATTATCTATAGCTTCCGTTTTCATATCGAAACTATACAAAGTATTATAAATAAGGCACTTGAGTGGCAATTCGATTATTTTTGCAATTAAGGTTACAACGTTTCCTAGTTAGTCTTGTGTATCACTGGTTAAAGACACAAGAGTAGCAAATTGATCGATATATTACAATTCAAAGTTTACAATCTTTAACTAAGAATGGTGTTAGCCTTCGTTCTGTGGTATAGCGTGTTATATTTCGCAAGTATCGTATCGTCTACTCAAGCTATCGAATGCCAAGGCACAGCGCGATATACGTTAACCTTTCGAGCGGAATGGACAAGCCAATCTCATCAAAATTTTCCAAGCAACCCACATTTCTCATCCCTCGTAGGCTGTAGTCATAAAGCCTCCTATGTGATGTGGACACCAGGAATAAAAGCGACCACAGGAGTTAAAAATGTGGCAGAATTCGGTATGAATTTTCAGTTTCTTTATTTAAAGTCAGGAATACCTTTAGACTAACGCGTGTGATTTGTGAAAGAAGCGCTGTTAAATTAAACAAGGCCCAAAGTCCAAACGATTTGATACTTTTCATATAGATGTTTGAGATTTTCTGGCGATGCAGGGTTAAATGTCCGATATCATTCTGACCCTATCAATCTGAGTACTTTTACTTTCGAACAATGTCTGTTTGACTTCTAGTTATCTGGGAAAGTAATGGATAAAACTTATTAAAAGTCGTGAGCGATAAACCTTCGTTCAAATTTCTTCCTAAAGTTTGGTACGTCAAATAAGCTATAAAATAACCTGTGGAACTCGATGAGGTTGGACAAAATTTAACCATAAATTGATAGAAATGTTATTGATTCTTATTTTCAAACGTAAACTATTTTTCTGATAACTACGGTACACAAACAAAAATCAAAATATTAGTCTCTTCATTCAATGTTTATCCAAGCTTAATACAGTGGGCAAGAGCCCGTCCCCGCCGTTCAGTGATCTTTGTTTTGAAATCTGTGCAGAAATGAGAGGGAGATTGCAATGTCTGGAATAACGATAAAACTGGCTGTTTCGTCATTATATTATTTTTCTTCAGAATTAACTCGTCTCAGAATGCGAGAAATGCTGTTTTAGAAGGCTAGAGACCTTCAAATTCAAAAGTCATACGCCTACGCAACTGGGCTGATAGAGATTAAGATCTAAAACCAACTAACTTGGTTAGACTGTTCAGGTTATTTTGGTTGGTTATTTCCTTATATAAAGTATACTGAGTATAATTATTTGTATTAATTCACATATGTTCAACTATTTATGTGACCATAGTTAATAGAATAGATGGTTTGGAAACTCACCAGAATAACAATATAACTCATTATCTATGTTAGTCAACGTTTATTCATAAATCTGGTCGTTCACCGTCACGTGCGCCGGTATTGTATTTTTGCCCAACTAACCAATAGCAATGTCTTAGGAAAGTTACCTATCCGTGACTCGAACAATAGGGTAAACTGGAAATTGCTATTGGTGGATTTGGCTAAAATACAATACACACGTGACGATGAAGGACCAGATTTATGAATAAACGTTGACCAACATAGATAATGAGTTATGTTGTTATTCTAATGAGTTTCCAAACCATCTATTCTATTATTAACTATGATGTGACTTCGATAATGTACGAAAACGCAACGAGCCCACGTACAATAATTAATATAATAGTCTATATTTATAAACAAAGCTTTGTTCACGGCCGAAACTATTAAATCTTAGTGAAAGCCTTCCTTCCGTGTGTTTTATACTGTAAGAGCTTGACAGAAATGAAAGTGGTAAATTACCTTGCCGTTCCTGTTGCCCAGTGTTGGCAATAACTAAGAGAAAAATTGCTTCCAGCCTCCGTTAATGATAAAGACTTTTTTCGACGATCACCGTGAGTGTCAACTAACAAGTCTGTCAGTCCGATATCGATTCATTTGGTTGTAAGATGCTGTGAGAATGGAGTAAGTCAGTATAGTTTAGGCTTAAACGAATGCCGGTTAACAGAACTCAAATGTTGTAGAGAGCATCTCATAGCTGGTGCTAAATCAATACATCATATTTTATGCTACAGAGTACAGGTTCTTCAAGTGCACTTATCAGATACATAGGTAGTGGCATCTCTAATGCAGGAACTCGTTTCATTTTTAATATTCCCTTGTGTCCTTTATTACCATACCCTTACCTGATTGGTTCGCTAACCCAACTGAATGTAAGAAGCTCACGGTGATGGTGGAAAACAGTCTTAAACATGGAGGCAGGGAGCCATTATTGCCAACGGTTAAGGCAGGTAATTCACGAATTAGATGTTTCTTTCCTGGCTAAATCAATACATCATATTTTATGCTACAGGTTCTTCAAGTGCACTTAACAGCGAAATGGACATTCAGATAAATTTGAAAAAAGCCCATAAGAGATACCGAGGCAACGGGTTCTCTGGTGGCACAGGAAGCCGTTCCATCACTGACATCGAAGTCAACTTGGAATATCCCCTCGTGTCCTTCATTACCATGATCGCACCCTCACCTGATTGGTTCGTTGGTGTACACGACTATAATTTATGCAACACAGCAACAGGGAGATGGTTAGACTCGAGAACAAGAGATTTGCCACCCTATGATGCAGGCACTGACAGTGGACCTAACTTTGATAGTCTAGATCAAATAACAAATCCAAAAGAAAATATCCACCTGCTTACAAATAACACAGAAGGATCGTTCAAAGGCGATAAACCCGTAAACAGGTTTGGAACTTTTACTTTTGTGAAGACCTATGATTCCAACCCAATTATCAAGCCGTCTTCCACCATACAGCAACGGCAACCCAGTGCTAGTGTGAATGCCGAAAGGTCTACTATGATGATTGATCGAAAAGAAAGCTCTACACAACAAGTACAGTTAAAAATTACCCCTAGTACAAAACCCAACGTTCCAACTCAAACACCGACCCCTACAGCATCAATCACAGTTTCAGCAAGCGTCAAGATGACACCAACACTCACCGCAACCAGTGCGGCAGGCTCTGTTAAACAATTTGCTTTTATCCACGTCATTTTTGCTACGATCCTTGTACATTTCTGTTTGTAATTTTTTTACAACTACTATTTGTACAAGCATGTATGGGGTTTGATATAAACATGTAATTATTATAAGAGGATTTGTCCTCAAAAAGGATAGAATATTAATGGCAAGAACGTAGTGGTAGAGAAAGCATAACAGGGAAAGGAAACAGCAGTACTTCCCGATGATAAAAGAAACACAACTCACCAAAAAAGTAATGTCAAAGTATAGAGTAATTATTTTATACACATAATTAGCAAGCATGTTTATCATAGCAATAATATTTATCATGTTGTGAACCAACTATTTTACAAAATGATGAATGTTCATAATTGCACCGATCTACGAGAATGATCGGTGATGCCGGGGTCATATATAATTACTTTACTTGTACGATATAATTAACCTAACTAATTTACACGACTAACAATGTCATATTTTTTGGTTCAAATACAGTTCATTGGAAATTTTAATAAGTTATAGCAGACTAGTCCCCAGTCCTCTGTGCATGCGTTTCATTTTTCCATGACATCACTGATTGCATATTCAAATGACGCGCGGGGGAAAACGCGTACTAAGAGGCGTAGGGACTGGCCCGACTAAGATTTGCCAATTACAAGACACACTTTCAAGAACAAAAGATATTTTCACAATTACTAAAACCAAGCAAAAATTACAAAATGCAGTTAAAACTGACCAAAGTTTACAACCTTGTCGCTACTAAACTATACGCGCAGATAACGTAATGAAGTCGGGGAAATGTAGCTTTTCCTGCTGATATCAAAAAGGCTTTTTCGAAAAATTTGAAATTGCGATGTTTCCATGAATACTCCCATTTTATCCCAATCTTGTAAACAGGCTTTCTAATAAATTGGGAAAAATCTTTTCATTTCCCAAGTGTGATTTTTGTTGCGGAAACAAAGGTTTGGCATCTTACTTTCTCTGAGAAATTTATTAGTAGTTTATAACTACTGGTCGCCCAAGCCTGGCGCTCACGAGAGCTCTTTGTTGAACTGATCACCACGAGAGGCCGTAAGCTTAGCAATTTTGTAAGATATCAAACACACCAGATCTTTGTTGCACGCCATATCAGGAAAAAGATCCGCACACGAGAACGGCATCGCGAGGTCCTTACCTCAGTCAAGAACTCTCCTGCGCGGCAGGCTTTCAGACATGTCAATGAGGGTAATAAAGACTTTGATTCTGAGTTCATTCAGTATTTTATAGGCACTGCTACACGTCTTTTATGGTAGATTCTCGCCAGTCTCATTGTATTAAATAATTAAAAAACAATCATTGTCAGGAAATTTAGTAGAAAATCTAGCGAGAATTTACCACAAATACAGACTAAATACCAGTGCGAACACGTACTTTATAAAATTCACGGGCAGTAAGTCAAACATCTATATATTACCCAATGTGTGTCAAAGCTGTTTGATTGGTGCAGGATGACCCTACATATTAGGAAAATATTGTCAAAACTATTTATCTGCCACGCCATCAGATGAGAATAAATTATTTAAATTGCATGACTCTACCAAAATTTTGATTTGCGCCAACCATGCCAGGTTGTTGCATATTGACCGCACCCCCCTGCGACATCATTCCTCTGTTCATCATACCGGGGGGAGAGGACATATTCATTTGTCCTACGCCGTTACCCATCATGTTCATAGACATCCCCATCTGATTCCCAGTGTACATTGCAGGCTGCATTCCTCCGGCGTTTCCATAGTAACCCATGCCCGGTGACGACATCTGTGGTGGTGTGGTGTGTTGCATGTAAAGCTGATTCATGCTTGGTTGATGAGGTTTCTCTTTCTGGGAGACTGGAGCCAAGTTATCCAGGCTGATGTCTACGCCACTGTTCGACCACGTTGTCAACTTCGACGCCGCCAACTTCGACGTTGCCTGGGCAATAATAGTACGCATAAGTTACTGTTAGTATGAGTTACCTAAATGGTCAGTTGGTGGAAAGTGTTTCGATTTAAATATTCAACAATGTATTTGTGCTATGTTTCTTCGTTGGCATCAGTTTACAACCTTGGTCAACAATTTGTAAAACGACTCGCCAAGGTTTCCCGCACAAAGAATTCGATGTTGCTTTGTCGCATTGTTACTGCAAATCACAGTAGGTTTTGTTCTAGATTGCTTGTCCCAAATTTTTAGTAGAAACAACATTGGATGTAGGGGAAGCGAAGAAAAGGGTAGGAAAGAAAATATACGTAGCAAAACACTTTGTGATGAATCATGACATGAGGGTCCAATGTGGGTAGAACCCTACAATAAGCTGTCGTTGTTGGTGCCTCAACTACATGAAAAACAACACTTCGACGTTTTAATGGCCTTGAAGCGTCCAAATAGTCTTAATTTCTGCCGAAGGTTAGGACACAAACCACGACAGGTTATCGTAGCAAAAATATTTGTAGTTTTTGGTACACAAGCTTTCCACAAAACAAGGAGAACTTACTCCAATCTTTCCCCCCAACCTGTGTGAAAATACCCTGAAATCAGAGTGGACATACAGTAATTAACTTTAACATGCATATTTCTAATGTTACAAATACTTATATTCTCCTACTTGCCTGTTGTGAACTCGTCGTTGTATTGCTACTCATCATTGACGACTTCGGAACATTAGCTGTTGATTGTGATGACATCATGCCTTGTTGTGATGACGTCATATTCCCCATCATGGGTGATGGGGCCATTGCCATTCCACCACCCATCATACTGGGAGCACCACCCATCATACTAGGAGCACCACCCATCATACTAGGAGCACCACCCATCATACTAGGAGCACCACTCATCACATTTGGAGCACCACCCATCATATTGGGAGCACCACTCATCATCGTATTGGGAGCACTACTCATCATCGTATTGGGAGCACCACTCATCATCGTATTGGGAGCACCTCCCATCATCGTATTGTGAGCACCGCCCATCATTCCTGCCCCAACCATCATGGGTGTTCCTCTCTGCATAGGTTGCCCACCCATTGTGAGTGTTCCACCCATCGTAGGATTTCCACCCTCCAACGTGGGCAAACCTCCCATCATGGATCCACCACCGCCTTGATTGCCTGCCATCACAGGTGTACCACCCATCAATGGATTTCCACCCATAGCCGAGTTATTACTCATCACTGTTGTGGTACCCACCATCATAGGTGACATGTTTGATGCTGGCATCATCGGACTTGACATACTCTACACGAGACAAAATATTCACAATTATATCCTAGGTGCGTGGAATTTTTAGATTTGGACAGAGAAAACCAATGTCTGTCTGCCAGTGTAAAAAGCATTACAGTACATGTTTTTAAATTGGAGAGGTTAAGATTGACGTTTACGGCAGACTGCTAACTACAAATTTCAAATCGTATTTCGAGTTCAACTGTTAGCTGTGCACTTAAATTGAAGCATGAATGAGATAAAAAACTTGTCGAAACTTTCGAAAACTTGTGGAGCTTACCTTCAAATGCGATTTGAAGTTTGTCGTTTGCGGTGTGCCGTAAACGTCAATCTTAATCTCTTCAAGTGCGAGTGCTGGGCAGTGGCAACCGTTGCCGCCCCACTGTGGGCAGATCCCTGCACGTTGGCTGGAAATATTCTACTTACCATAGGTTGCATGTTGACTCCTGGTTGTGCTTGAAACGACATGGAAACATTACTGGCCATGGTTGGTTTGGACAAAACATCCCGATTCGAACTTGACGCAGAGGCAAAATCTTCAAATAAATCTGCGTCACCATTTTGACTCGACTGCTGCGTTTTTCCCGAAGATTGAAAGTCGGCAAAGTCGTCTTTAGGCGAAGCAGGTTTTGCTTCAGAGAACGCGCTAAAATCAGCGAAATCATTTCCATTCTGGTGTTTTGCAGACTCAAAACTTCCAAAAACACCACCGTCATTGCTGGAGTCGGACTGAAACGGCGGGATACTTGCAACAGGCCGGCTCTCCGAGGATGAGAATAAGTCAACAAGTTCATTAGCAGAGCTCTGCGTAGTTTGTGCGTGTTCTTTTAACGTCGTTTCATCAGTTTTGTTATTGTCTCTCTGAACTTGAGCGTAAGTAGCAGCAGCTCCAAGGTCTACCTTTCGTACAGTTTTCTTCACTACAGGACTTTCCTCCTTCGCTGGTACACGTTCTCTAGTCTCGAGGGCGTCCTGACCTTCTTCCTCATCACTGTTGGAAGAATTGCAAGGTTGAAATGCATGTACTACTACTGGGAAGAATAGCAAGGTTGAAATGCATGTACTACAACTGGGAAGAATTGCAAGGTTGAAATGCATGTACTACAACTGGGAAGAATTGCAAGGTTGAAATGCATGTACTACTACTGGGAAGAATTGCAAGGTTGAAATGCATGCACTACTACTGGGAAGAATTGCAAGGTTGAAATGCATGTACTACAACTGGGAAGAATTGCAAGGTCGAAATGCATGTACTACTACTGGGAAGAATTGCAAGGCTGAAATGCATGTACTACTACTGTATTTCTTTCAGAGCCATCATCAGTGGAATATGATATAATTATTATAATAGCAAGCTTTTAACCAGGGGGACTGGTCATTCAAAAAAAGCCGGTTAGCTTAACCCTGGGTTAACCTAAAATTCAAAGAAAACATCCCAACAACTTTTTTACAAACTTGGAAATATTTCTTCAGAAGTCTTGTGTGGATCAATGCGAGTTACATTTTCTGAAGTTTTGAAACAAACAGATGTGGAAATGTATCCAAACCAAAACAGTAGGTTAAATTTTAACCCACTAATCCAGTTTGAACAACCGGCCCCAGGGTGTCAAAACATATCGAGGGTGTGGCAACTTATTTTCATGGACGTGGTAAAAAAACATGACGCTTGAAATCAAATTCTCATACACTCATCATCCAGCGTGTTTTTCCACAAAAAAGTATCGAAACGTATACAAAAGTAAACAGCAGCCGACAACAACTATTTGTGAAATATCACAAAGCGGCCACCTATGAAAAAGTGGCCATCTAAATTACAAAGCTGGCGTCCAATGATTATTGCCATGTATTTGAGCTGGTACAAATTAAAAACTCAAGGTGTACTTATTGTACTTTAAGAAAATTGCATGTAAATACAGTGACTCTAAAAGGTGTTCAAGCAGGAACCTGAAAATATGAGATAGAACCAGAGGATAGAACAAGATAGTGAAGATACTAACATTAAATACCAACACTTCAGAATTAAGGTTGGTATTCAGCAATACTGACCTACCTTTAATCGTTCTTTTGATAAAAAGGTTTGCTAAGCTTCTCTTGATATTATTTGCTAAGCTTCTTCAGTGTTATTTCAATAGTATATTATATAGTATATTTAAGCTATCTGAATGTAATCACCGCCATTTTGATTGTATGATAAAACGTTGAAAACAAAAGCTGATGAAAAAATAATACACAATAAGATAATGCACTGTATAAGATAATGGTACCTCCTATTTGAGACATCGTCTCTATAATCTCCAGCCTTATTTCCAGAATATGCCCTTCCTCTAAATTTCCGAAATGAACTTCTCTTGTTTGATTTATCATCAAATTCATCGAAAGCATCATCAAAATTCTTTGGTTCTGCACTGTATCTATCACCTGAATCAATGGTAAGTATGGGATCAGCTACATGTATTTCAAAATGCATGTATAAGCACAATAAGGTGGTTATTTCAAAATTTTAATATATAACCCATTAAATTGCATTGCACCCTACTATATTATTTTACTCTGTCCAACGTCAGATGATTTTCCACGTCAAGGGGAAAGTGCTGGTGCTCATTAAGCTGTGTTGCAATGCACCCAAATGCACCCTACTTTATAATTTTTTCTGTTTATGTGAGATGATTTACTTGTCTATCTACCAATGAAGCTGCAATGCATCCAACTTTATTATTATTTTACTCTGTCTAACTCCACACAATTTTATTTGTGAAGGGGAGAATCTTGAGCATTAATGGGTTAACCTCCAGATAGAACATTTTAGAAGTGATAAAGTTATCCAGTAAGTTTAGTTATCAGGTAAGTGCAAACTAAAAACTTACTGTAGTCATATTTACGTGAGACTTCTTCACTAGAAACTCCTTTGTATTTGTCTCGCGATTTCTTCGCTTTCTTTCTTTCATCTCGTAATCTCTGATCATCTTGTACAATTTCTATTAATTCTTTCACTTTATGTCGAACTAGAAATATTTTTATACATACAGTCAGTGATAGTAAGACCAGGGTCAGGTCGGGTATATGGGTCATCACGATTAGAGGATTATCAAATTGGGTCGTTCCAGAAAAGATCCATACTCCCCCCACAGAGGAAATTTCTGCCGTCCGGAGGGGGAGGGGAGAAAAAATTGTTTCTGATAATAGTAAATGTATTAGGACATCCGAAGGGGATAGGGGGGTTAACTTCCTATTTCCTCCGTGGGGGTGGTATGGATGTTTTCTGGAATGACCCATTTACAAGTTACAACAGATTTTTGCTGATCATTTTTTGTTTTCCTCATTTGCGCATACTTTAAGTATACTTGCAGTATAGGTTTGATAACAGACAATTATTTTATACTGGCTTGCATCTGTATAAAATTCACATGTAATCCAGTGCCGTGAGCACTATTGGTACTGCCTGCAGCAATAGCTGGGTTTCAGTCACATGACACGTTTAGCGCTTGGTGGTCAACTCTAAATGGAAACACATTAATTGAAGACTCATTCACACGATACAACTAGTCGTATACGTGATTTTTCTGTTTCGTATACGATTGTCATTCTGGCATATGAAAATGACTTCTGACCCCACTATTCCAGCTTATCAGTTTAATGACGAAATTTGAAATGTGACATATTTACACGCTTTTATTCAAGTACATATGCCAGGATAAGAATCGTATACGACTAGTTGTATCGTGTAGATGGACCTTAATTGGATTGAGTTAAATATTCATTATAAGTATTGATCTTGTGTTTGGTATCAAATATAATGCAATTTAACAAAATTTACTTGCTTACAATATGTGTAAAATTGAAGTTCCCTATGTACAAGTTTACATAAAAATTCCTCTTGTAAAAACAACAAACACTCATGATTTTTTTCACAAAGCAAGCACACAATTTATAAACAAACCATACAAATAAATGTTATCACACATGAAATAGTTTTTGGCTTGAAAATGTAAGTTTAATTTAAAAAACTGTTTATTCTTGTGTCAAAAATATTTGAATGAGCGCATTGTTAAGAAATATTTCCTGATGAATTAAAAATATGCATGATAAAAATTCTTTCATACGATAATGAATTAACTGTCACTCTCTCTTTTAAAATATTTATTAAATCGGAAAAGATTGCGACTCCCACAACAAATTCTAAGAAAATCGGAATGGTCTTACTTACTATGGTCGGAATCTGATACTTTATTGTTGGGACAAGCTACAGAGGCATCAAATGCCGATTGTATTGCGAAAATTTTGACATGGCACTATGGCATGCATATTATAAAATATTTTACTCACTATTAATGCCTTGGTCTCTGCCGTGTTCGTCTATATGTTGATAATCTTCTAGCTGTCTCATATCGTAAATATGGTCCCTAGAACTAGTCACAACACGTTCAGAACCATTCCGAAGCAAATACGACAATAACAGCAGCGACTACAACACAACAAATATAATTTGAATAAACAATAATGAGACTTTTAAAGTATTTGCATTGACATTTGGGCAAATCAAGCCGTTATAAAACGATAAACTGTTTCCTCTATAGCCACAAACCTTGTATACCCTACGCCAGTTCTTTTTCTCCTGAAGCATTCTCTTCCAAAGCATTGACATTACTTCGGGAAAGTGTTCATACGTAAAAGTGTATTTTGCGATTTCGCTCATTATAGAACCGTGAGGGCCCCACGTATCGTCATTTGTCGCTTCTCTCACCCTCGACTCGACTTCAGAATAATTCATGACCATATTGGTCCTAAAACCGAAGCATTACATACATTATAACAGCTACAAAACAATAACAACTGAACGAGATGGCAGAAGCCGATGTCAAGCTTACTACGTTCAGAAAGATTTCAATACTTACACTTTGTCCTGGAGTTCACGGATTTTCCACATTGTTTTGCTAGAAGTATATTATAAATATGATGAATGTAAATGTCCTAAGGTCGTTGTTATGATGGCAGATGCAAAGGGATTTAAATTGCTTCCCTTTGCGAAAGAATCAAAATGGCGGATTGCAAATTGGCAGTGACCAGGCAGTGACCTTCGAGCGACAAACGTGACGTCATAACATTTCCGTCTCAAGTCTCAAACTCCAAATTCCAAAACACACGAATTCAAGTTCCTTGAACAATTTAATCACATGTCGATGAATTTAATTTATAATTCCGGTAGCTGTGTGCTTTATATAGTGTCCTTGACTGTAGTCTCTTACAGTATTAAAATTGTATGTCAAAATATTACATTCTTCGTTTTATTCGCAACATTTGTCACCTTGCGATGTCGCAATATTTATTAATTCCTTTAATGGTCAAATGAGTAATGTAAAGAATTCTGATGCAGAGAAAATGACTAATTAAAAATTAACGAGTAAAAATGACAAACAGATAAACAATTGATGTTGCATTTTGCATTTGTTGAATTTTCTTTTACCAACATCAGTTTTTGAAAAAATATCCCCCCCCCCCCCCCCCCTCCCGTGAAACATACACGGATTTCTTTTGAAAGCGATTGTTTTTACGCTACGTGACATGAATATATGAATATACACACCCTAGCTGTCTAGCTACGGCCCTGAATGCCTTTTGACAGTTTTCACTGGCTACTCAGGTTCAATTAATACTCTAACACTGGGGAATCCACACGTTGTTGCCCACGCTCATTCTTCGCTTGGTTACTTTCCACATATTTTTATAAGTAAGATCTTTATTAAAGGTCAGGAAGCTTCGTCACGAAACGGGATTTTTTTCTTCTCCTGTAGAATTTCCGAAGTCCTTGACACGATGGTTAGCCGCTCGTGCGCTACTAGGGCCCAATGGATAGGTTTTAAGAATTCAACAAGGTGTGGGATACTGTGGACCATCACTTGTCTCAACCCAACTGAGGGCAAGTCTACATTTATCAAGGCTGAAGATCAATACACCCTTCCTCTCTCCTCCACAGAGGCAATTGGAATAGGCTAATATAGGCTTACATGAATTAACCTGAAGTTCAGGCCCTAATTTGAAATACATGAATGGAATAGGCTTACATATGAATCTTACATGAAGAATCTTACATGAAGTTTCGGAATCTTACATGAAGTTTCGTGCGCGCTTACATGAATGTAAGATTCATATGTAAGCCTATTCCATTCATGTAAGCCTATATTAGCCTATTCCAATTGCCTCTGTGGAGGAGAGACACCCTTCCGGAAAGTATGTCATTTTAGCTATAGGACAATAGAGCCTCGTTTTCGTGTTTGTGAAAATAGCGAGCTTAAGCATGTAGGACGGCAACACGACGACGACGGCCAAAACAAATTCCTTCAAATAAATGATAGTAAAGAAAACTTGTCGTATATTATAGTTCGTATGAATTTAATACAGTATAAGAAGTTGAAAACATTGGCTTTATGTTTGGGAAGAGTTCTACTCAACCGAAGTTATACACTTGTTACGGCTTGAAATGCAGGCGTTGTATAAAAGACGTAAAAATCTGTGATTTGCCGTTGTAAACAGAGCGACGACTACAGTGTCGTCGTGTTTTCGTCCTACATGCTTAAGCTCCCTAGCGTCTCAGTGACGAAAACGAGGTTTGATAGCCAGTGACGCCCTTTACGGAAGGGTCTATTGTTTGTTTCGAAAATTACAATCACCATAGTGAACAGTAATACTGCAGAAAATTTTTTAAATATTATTTATCATTTCAAGGTGAGTCTCAATATATTATGTTCATTTCCTCTTGTGTGCCTTCTTGGATTTTTGAGCGCCTTTCTTCGCACCTTTCACGATTCCTTTAAACTGTCCGGAGAGTTTAGCACGTTTCCTGTAAAAAAGATTGTAAGATTTTGTTGAGATAAAATGGAAAGGATGAGGGGAGGTGTGAAAAGTCATGCACCTCCGCTTGTGAAAGGTTAAATGATAATTCAATGAAGAACTCAAAATGGTTGAGCCGTACAGTCATATTTACAGAACATACATACGTCACCATAGTTGACTTTAGGGGGTCCATTCTAAGCCCTAACATTCCATGGGGGAGCTAGACCGCTGCACCCCCCCCCCCTTAATATTTTACCACCTCCCCCAGCATTTCCACTGGTCCAATACTTACGCGAGTAGTGTTGGGCTACTCACATGAAAGGAGGGACCGGAAGTTTGGTGTGGGTGGATGATCCGGTATGGATCTCTTTAGGGGTCGACCATTAGATATCCTGGGAGAGGGAAGGGGAAATTTTTTTCGCAAGAATTTTAAGTTCGGAGTTAAGTCGAACTTTTTTTACGGTGTAGAACAGGGCTTGGGGTCAAGGGTCTGTGTTAAGGGCGGCTTTGATATTAGTTAGAAAACAAAATTCCCTACCTTTTATTCAAAGACTGCGTATTTAAAGGAAGATAGGCATATGGATCTGGTTTTCCTTTCTTTTTCACATCACCGCCAGCTTTCTGTAAACAGAACGGTTTATACAATTGAAACTCGACTTATTGCCAGGGGCGATTACGTGGACTAAATTCAGCCGTCGCTACGAAAGGCTGCTTTCCAGTAGAAATTTCTAGTAATTTCCAGAAATTGATCTTTACCTTGGCTCGATATTCTTCACCAAAGTCTCCGCCATGTTTTGATCTTTTACCAAACGTTTCCTCCATTTCGTCGTCTCCATCTATCAATTTTCTTTTGCTTCCCTACGTGGGAATGAAAAAAATTAGAACTACAACTCGAGTTCCCCAGCGGCGCGCGCATGCGCGATCACGCAAGTAATCATATGACGTCACAGAACAGCTGACTTCTCCAGGACAAAACAGGGAATCTCTCGTTTCAGCTTTTGCCGTCTCAAACAGATGAAAATAAAAATTTATGAAAAAAAATTGAAGCAGGAGCGCCGAAGGACACTATTTGACACTACAACACGAACGGACAGTTAACAGTGAGTGTCATTAATGTTTTTCACGACATTTTCAGTAATGTTTTTTCTTTACTGATGATAATTATGTCTACAATTTTCAAGTGCAACATACAGGTAGGCAGACGCACTGAAATTCGTCCTGCAGATTTGAAGAATATGTGGCTTGTGTGTGGAGTGCGTGCCTTTCACCACGACGAACGGGGTTGTTTTTCTCTAACACAGAAATTTTACACTTTACTGAACAAGACAACCATCAAAAACATATTAAATACTTTTGTTTGTGGAAACAAAACTATTATATGTTTTATCGCCATGCAAACATACAAAGAACTTATATTAAATACTGATTACATCGGGTATACTATACTGTAAAACACCCCAGTTTTCTTATGATAACACTACTAAACTACTAAACCCTATTTCGCGTTGTTTTCTTCGCTGTAATAATAGATAAACGAGAGATGACCCTACTGGACCACCAAGGAGAACAGATTAGAACTGAAAGTTACGCAGCATATACAAAATGTTCATATGTACATTATCACTTGTGTTTGTTTTAGTTCAAGAAAACCACGCCAATATAAGAATAAAAATGTGGCAAACAAAAGAACAAGCGAAACAGTTCTTCATAAAGCGTCCCAAGACCAGTCTATTCCTGGGTACAACGTTATTCTTGGGATCACTGCCGATAACTATATTCGCAAGCATCATCCTCTGTGTATCATTAGTTCTCGGTACGGCGTTCATACTTCTACAAGGTACCGTTCTAGCCGTAACGTTCGCTGGCTTAGCGACTACTCTTGCTGGACCGATTTGTATAGCGGCAACTGTGACTATGGTATTTTATGCCGTACGGAGATTTTACCTCGCATTACGATGCCTACGTGTGCGAATGTTAACTAGAACAACAACGCTCTTAGAACAATTTCACGTACTACCGGAAGATCAGACCAACACCCGGAATAGAGATCCGGAAAACAATTCGGTAAAAGACCGTAGGAACGAAAGTCCGAAGATCAAGCACTACCAATGCGAGTTTTGTCGCGCGAATCGTCACGATCTTTGCGTGTCCGGAAAACTCGCGCATAACAAACATGTAAAGAACGCTGGTCAACAGACGAGTCATCCACCAACATGAGCAATACAATAATTCATCATCATTATTAAATAAAAACACTTACCGTTAATGAGACTTCCATTTCTGTATCTTCGCTTAGTATCGATGAACCTGGCGAAATTTTAAGTGGAAACTCAAGCTAAAACTCTAGACCTAGACACCTCAATGCTGAATGCCACATTTAGGAGCTTAGTAACTAAGTGTTTTTGATCACAGAAGCATACTTCCTACAAACTGAACCAAATGAGATTCATTTGGTTGATCTCTATATAATTTTATGTTTTCATATGGGAGAGTGGGAGACGAGCCAGGCCGGAGATTCCACATCACTTTAACATCCCCTTTAGGGGAAATCTCAGGCAAATTCAACCTTCGGGACTTTAGCTTGTTTTCCACTTCAATCGTATCGTACTGAAACGTGAGCATGCGTAGATTGAAAATAGGTTGATAAATTCACCTACTTCCGAGTGTATTCGCGCATCAAAATGAAAGGTTCGTCACAAGTCAACTTTTTGGCGTACTACTGAAGTATTAACTAATCAGCATTCACTAAAATTTAACCTTTTTTCGATACCTTGAAGTGGAAAATGGCCTACAAGTTATCTACGCGAGCTTTACATACCTGAAGGTTTTTCTGATTTCTTGAAACTTCCCTCTTCCTCAGGAATGATCAAGCGACCATCATCAGCCACTTCAAAACCGGAATCTCTCGCACGCTTGTTCACTGGTGCAGTTGCTGAAAGATAATGTATAACACTTTCAACTACTCCGTCTGTTCAGCATGGCTGTATAGACATGTACAGACAAACAACAACAACAACAACAACAACAACAACAACAACAACAGCCGACAACAACCGACAACAACAACCGACAACCGACAACAACAACCGACAACAACAACCGACAACAACAACCGACAACAACAACAGACAACAACAACAACAACAACAACAACAACAACAACAACAAACAACAAACAACAAACGACCAACCGACAACAACAACCGACAACATTTCTAGCCATGCAACGCAAAATAAAGAATGAAATACACACCAGTAACATGTTGAGAGATACTTGAACTGAGAAGATCCAGAGGTTCGTCAGGCTCATTTTCACGAATAAAAGCTTTAGAAAGAGGATTCCTCTTTGATTTTTGATCCTTGAAAATCAATGTGCAAAATACCCCAATATTATTACTTTCGCGAAGAGGTTTTAACACCTCAGGTATGCAGTCCCACGAGAGCCCTCAAGTTTATATATCAATCATTCAGAATATACTAATTTATATATCAAACATTCAGAATATACTAAAATGGCTATTGCAAGAATGCACTTGGCTTCCCCTTGCATGTTTAACTATAGCAGTATCAGGGATCATAGTATTCATTATTTCCCTCCGTACCAGTAGATATAATACTGTAAATGATAACTAAGTACCTTCCTCTTTGAAAAAGATTTGTCATCATCATCGTCGTCAGATCCAAACATAAGGTCTTCATAACTGGTAAAAAATAACACAAGTACAACATACTACGAGTATACTGTATACTAACGGACAGATGAGCATGTTTTTCTTGACAGCTTTTCCTTGAGAACAATTTAAATGAACAAACCTGTCAATCTGTGTGTTCTTTTCATTTTGCCTCTACATTGTAAAAAGATATTTGTAATTCTCGTTAAAAATCACGAGGGAGAACGAGGCACTTTGAAGAACAAGGCAGTTATTGTAATAACTTATTGTAAGGAAGTTGTTAACGTTTGCAATGAAATAATATAGGTAGAAGGTGTTAGTCATCCTCAAAATATTTTTTTAGAATATCAAGTTATTCTGAAATACCATTGCAAACACATCTTACCATTCTATTGCTGTGACCTTCCATCTTCTTGCGTTTTCCTCTCTCGACCCGCTTGTGAATATTCCGTACGAACTTACGATGCTTCTCAGGAACCAAATCATGAATGACCTTAAACCTAAAATCACAAAAATATTTCAACGTAGTGATCAGTTTAAAGGTGCCATAAAATTAGGGATTGCTTACAACTTTCCTGTAAGCCGAGTGCTGCATTGCGAACATGATCGAATCCAAAGTTTACTATAGGGCACATCTTATAGCTGTTCAGTACTCACCCAAACTTTCTTATAAGCCTTTCAAACAACACTTGGGCTTTGAAACGGAATTTATTTCTGCTGTCTTCACTCCAGTTTACAAGACCTAAGATCTGAAAACACAAAATTAAAAGAGATACAACATTTTCGTCTGCTTTTTATCTCTTGTGGTTTTGTGCGTTTTGTTTGGTTTCGCGTATTCTTATACCAGATTGGCAGATTCATTTTAAAATATGTTATGGGCTGAAAAGATCGGTCCGCAATATACAGATACTTACTAAATCTTGTAAAAATGGTGAAAATTCGTCTGCACTCGTTACACTTATAGCAACCTAAATTAACAGTAAATGTATATGTTGCATTTAGATACAACCTAAAATATACAGTAACACACATGTTAATAAAATAATTTCATATTATACAACGCACCTTGAAAAATCCAAGGGCTGATTTCACAATTTCTCTTTTGTTTGACATCAAAAGGTTGGTCATGGTTTTGATAAGCTGGTCAAAAACTTGCACCCCGTAAGATCCTAGACACCATTGACAAACATTATAATTATTAAGAGATTATATATAGACAATAGATGCCTACTAAAAATTACCTGTGTAAAAAAACTAGAACACAACTATTGCACTTTTTGGGACACCTTGTAATGCACATAACGCCAGACAATTTAAACAGTCTATGAAGAAATCTGGCTCAAAAGAGTATATACCTCTGTGTTCATAAATAATTTTTGAAATCGCTATGATTGTTCCGCTGACCATATTAGGTGAGCCTCCAAAGCCAGCAACCAAAGTTCCTAAGTAGGTCTCAATACAAGCTAAAGAAAAATAAAACGTGAAAAATTATTGGTATGTACATTTAAACAGAATAAAGTACTGTATTCATATTTTATTTATCCAAATGTGGTCAAACTTTGAATAAGTACTAATTTTGAGCTGCTTTTTCCAGCGGTACATTTCCTGACGTTGTTACTTTTGAACACTCCGTCCCAGTCTCCTCGTCAATTTCGGAATAGTTAATAAGACTTCTGAAGTTGGCCATGCACAATCTGCCCCCCCTGAAAGTGATTTTCTTTTTGATAATTAGTGTTGGTCCTTTCCCCTGTTATACCTGATCGCTCAGACTCAACCTACCTTTTTTACTCTGGTCTGAACAACGAATAAATGTCTCTCCAATGTCAACTATCAGTTTCAGTGACGCTGTTCGGGCCTTTGAATTCACTTCTTTCACGGACAAAATAACCTAAGAAGCGGATACAGTTTGAATAAACAAGGCTGTTTCTTTCGTACGAATTGAATTATAGCGGGTAGAGAAAAATTACCTCCGGTATAATTGTATTGAGAAACATTTCTTGTCCTGGCTGGAGTTTCTCGACAACTTGTATTAAACATCGAAGACGTGGCTATATGTTGAGAAAATAAAATGGTTAAAATTTGTCATGTTCTGCCGGGCAGAGTAAACTGAATACGTAATTAGCCCATTGTATAATTTATGCATGATACATAACTTAATTCGCTGCTGGAGGTATGCAGTCTTCAAGTGACCTCCAGTTAAAGGCACAATGCAGCCTTTTGAATGATGGTTTTTAAGGCGCATTACAATCCTTTTAATTGAAAAAACTAACTAGGTAAATCAATTCAGCATAATTCAAGATCAGTGATCTCAATGTTTTTAACATTTTAACATTTCTAATGTTGAAAACATTGAGTTCACTGATCTTGAATTATGCTTAATTGATTTCCCTAGTTAGTTTTTTCAATCAAAAGGTTTTTAATTAAGTAATAATTAAGTAATAATTAAGTAATATTTTCCATTACCGCTTTAGAAACAGAAGACGCCGTTGTTAAATTTTTTGCCAGAACATCCTGAATTTCCGTGAGATTACTAGAAATAAATTCCTCGGTTGACTTGGAACTACAAATTTCTTCTAACACTCTGTAAGATTTCTTCTGAAGTCTTGCATCTTTTGCCTGCAAAAGTGACAAGAAAACACAAGAAATTAATGTCGATGTTAATGCCAAACCTTACTATGCCATACTGTACCATAATATACCACATCGTACCATACAATACAATACCATACCACTCCACATCACACGATACCATACCACAGCATACATCATCATACACCATACCATACCATATACCATACCACAGCATACATCATATCATACACCATACCATACCATATACCATACCACAGCATACATCATATCATACACCATACCATACCATACCATACCATATACCATACCACAGCAAAAATCATATCATACACCATACCATACCATACCATATACCATACCACAGCAAAAATCATATCATACACCATACCATACCATATACCATACCACAGCAAACATCATCATACACCATACCATACCATATACCATACCACAGCATACATCATATCATACACCATACCATACCATACCATATACCATACCACAGCAAAAATCATATCATACACCATACCATACCATATACCATACCACAGCATACATCATATCATACACCATACCATACCACAGCATACATCATGCCATAACCATACCAGTACAACCATACCAGTACAACAACCATACCAGTACAACAACCATACCAATGCAACAACGCTGAATAAATAATTTCACCCACCTTTAACCAGGGCAATATGGTTTGATATAAACCTGCAACAGCTTCTGTATCCAAATATTGAACCATTGCTATCACAAAATCCATCAGCATGTGCCTAGAATAAACGAAAGCTTGGGGTTGAGGCGCAGCACTACACTTACACTGTAGAATTGATAATTGATAATATTCCAAAGGTGTACTGTATTTTTTATAAGAAACTCACTTTTTTTCTTGAGGTGTCTCATCCAACCGTACTTTGTCCACTGCTTTTAGGAAGAACTGTTTTACGAGCTGAAAAATGAATAGAGCGTTTGCACATGACGTCACAGCCGCCATGTTGGTGTTCCAATTCAAAAGAACTTCAATGGACCTATTACCTAATGAACAAAATTTTGATCTAGACAAGTCTAGACAAATATTTCATCACAGCTTGAAAGAGCATCACAAAATTAGTATATTCCGAACTTTCGTTGCGAAATGTTGTAAAATGCGAATATAGCCCTGCAAAGTTTGCCGTTTTTCAGTCATTTTGTATTACGCGCGGGAAATTATACCGCTTTCTGAAAAGAGGAATGACTGAAAAACGGCAAACTTTGCAAGGCCATATTATCCGCATTTTACAACATTTCGCAACGAAACTTCGGAATATTACTAATTTTGTGATGCTCTTTCAAGCTGTGATGAAACTTTTGTCTAGACTCGTCTAGATCAAAATTTTGTTCATTAGGAAATAGGTCCATTAGACTCTTTTGTCTGGAACACCAACATGGCCGCCACGGCTTTTGTTGAGTTGGTCCCTGGGGAATGAGTGCAAACGCTCTATAGTCGTTATATAACAATGGGAAAGAGAACGGAACAAATTGTCCCCCCGTTAGATATCCTGGATGGTCCAGTCGTTGTAAGTTGCAACAAAAAGTGCCACTTGTAACATGGCCCTAACTAAATGAACGAACCTGTTGGTCTGTGATTTGTAGATAGCATTTCAACGTTTGTAAGATGGGCAGAGAAATTGAATCGTTCTTCTCCTCACATGCCGTGTAAATATTAAACAGGATAGGAAGATAGTTCTTCGCAAATCTCGCAAGCTCTTTTATATTCTCCTCTATAACAAAGATACAAAAATACAATGGAACCATGCATACTGTAGTAAATTACACCTGATTTATAAAAATTCCCATACTAACCATTGTCAAGATTTTTGGAAATCAGAAGTCGAATGGCATGGCAAATTTTTGCTCGTAGATCTATTCTCTCGTTCAACAGAGACCCCAGAGTTTTCGCCACAGATTTGAAGTTCTACAGAAGAGCCGATAAAAAGGTCAATAACGTCAACTGATAAACTGCACGGTTCTAAATTCTAGTCGAAATATTAGAATTTCAAAGCACATAAATCGACTAAAGAATCATTTAAATGCAACGAAGAATCACAAGCATTAAATTTGTTCTAATACCTGACACAAGTCTGTTGGCTTAGTACAAAACGACGGCAAAAGATCCCAAATCTAAATATAATTTAAAAAATACCATTTGAAAATGGGATCATAATATGGTACACCGAAATTTCCTGCCAGAAGGTCTATAGTTGCATTTTTTGCAGCTGCTCTGCTTAGATCTAGAATTGTATATAACCTTCCGCTGGTGTAAATTATACCAGGGTTTGATTTTTCCAGAAAAAAATCTTCTTAAATTTTCTTTTATTAATAAAAGAAGATTTTCAATATAAAAGATTTTTGGCATTCAAAAAATATACGATGACGTCATGATGTGACGTAATATTGGTATATATACATCTTTGTGTGACGTCATCGCGTTATTCAGTTGTAGATATCATGCAGTGTTAATTTGGAAGCAGTTCAGATACTAAAGTAACTTTCATCAGTTTTACGTAATCATTCCTGCTCTTGAATCTCGACTGGGGCTATACTACTACCGTCACTATGACCTCGACTGGTGAGCGTAATATTTTATTACTTTATTTTGTCATTATTAAAATATTTTATAAAATATATTAAAATACAAAATTTCTTGATTTTCAAATTAATAATATAAAAATCAAAAATAATAATAAAAAGAAGAAATAATAAAAGAAGATTTACCAACCCTGAATTATACCTGTAAATATAAAGTGTCAAAAACTTTCGCTTCCAACTCACTACCATTGGCCTTTAATCTTTCAGCTGTTAACAGAAACAATATACTTATTTGTGCTCAATGTACAGACCACAGTAAGACTTTTTATATTATTAACATGAGGCTTAGAGAAAGTTCGTTCTTAAACATTTTGAAATATAGTTATTGCCTTAGGCATTAAAGAACGTATACGTAAAACAAGTATGATAGTGACCTCAATATGTTACTGGAATGATATCTTACTCTCAGGTTACAGAAAAAGCGGACAAAGAAGGTAAAAGTTGAAGCAGTTGCATGCTTCTTGTGAAACTGTGTTTTATGCCATGGCAACAACTTCATTCAACAGAATTGATTTGAAGCAAAAATTAAAAGTAATTGTAAAACTGTTCATTATTTTTATCTATATAAAAAATAGTAAAGGCAAATATTTAGTTGTTTACCTTTTCCTTTTAATGTGTTGGCAAGTGGAGCGAGGTTTTCAAAAAAGAACATCATTTCAGTTTCTCGAACATGGTCCCTCATAACAGGCAACAGCCAACTTCGGGGAAACTCACACGTATTTCTACGAAAAGTAAATGTAGTGCTGACACAACAATTTTGAACGTCTCAATCACGGAAACGAGCCCCTAATAGCCAAAGTGACGTACATACTTTCCGGAAGCGTGTATTCCATTTTACTTACGTGTCTTTTTCTAAGTCCAGAGGAACAACTCCTAAAACAAATCTGAAAAATATTCATTAGTTAATAAATGAAAACCAAAACCAAACGGACTGAAAAACCATATGTATAAATAGTCCTAATCTTAAAAAAATGTTCTTACGATATTCTAGGTGCGATAGAGTTTTCCAGGGAGAATAAAGTTAGACAACTGATCTTACTTTGGACCCATTCTTTGAAAAGCCATTCCGACAGTTTTCTTCAGTTCTCTACGACACTGAATGCCATGGCTGTTGTGCAGGTTACACAATGACAAAAGACATTTCTTTAATCTTTCTGGACATAGTTTTCCAAATACCTGAAAAAGGTTATGGCTGGATTTACATTATAGAATAACATACGCAATATATGATAGCTATGCAAATCATCTTGATTGGATTTTCCTCCTCCAACTGATTTTAAAATATTTACACACGCAGAAACACAAAACCAGTGCTAAAAAATTATTGAACTACCGGCACATTGTCTTACTACGATGTTCAGACAGAAATTTCCATATCTTATCCACAACTTACCTCAAAAAACTTGCTTATAACATCAAGTATTAACTTCCATGATCCCTGATAGCGCAATTTTAAACCAGACTCAAGACACCTGTAAAAAGCAACACTTAAAATGACAGTTTTCTAAAGGAGGCGCAACCACCATATGGACTTGTCTGATCACAGAGCATAGCTATAATGGAAGTGTTTCTACGATGGAAGGGTTTATAGTGTTGTGTGAGCAAGGGAAACGCGAGTACCCAGGAGAGAACAAACAGAAAATCTAGTTACATAAGTTTTGAAGCACATCAAGTCAGATTACAGAGCAAAAACTGGCTTACCGCAAGAGAAAGAGAAAAACTGGCTTACCGTAAGAGAAAAACTGGCTTACCGCAATATTATCAGCACAGGAGAGGTAGCAGCGTCTTTGTTTTCTAAACCCCTACTTAACTTTTCAGCCCTTGGGGAAATACACTCCTCAAGCAAACACTAGAAAAAGGTACATAGTTTGAACTTGAGATCTTAGGCATGTATGAAGACGCGTGAGAAAGGCTAATAGGCAATTCCAGCTACAGTATAGACTAAATTTTGATCTAAGCAAGAAGCCTTACGAAATTTGCAAGTATTAATTGGTGTTACGCGCAGGAAAATGCACCACATTTGGGCCGAAAGTGGGGCATTTTCCCGTGCGTAATACAGATTAAATCAATACAAAATTTGCAAATTTCGCAATAGCGCTATATTTTCCTCATTTTACAACATTTCGCAACCAAACTTTGCAATTTTACTAATTTTAACATGCTCTTTCTAGCTGTGGTGATGGATTTTGTTCTTCTTGCCTAGATCAAAATTTAGTCTATAGCTGGAATTGACTATTGGTAATGATGATATACACTTGTCCATTATGATATACACTTCACTTGATCACAAACCTTCATTGTGTTTGCGGCCGTCGTCTTGACAACAGCATGATGAGATAGGAGAAACGTCATACATGACGCAAACAATTTGACACAAGATTCCGCACACAACTCTGCATCCAACCTGGAATGATAAATGCAAATTGTCTGAAAACAGACTGAACTCCTTGGTTGTGTATGATGATGTGACTGTTTCTGCCCCCATATGAACTTTGTCACTGAAAATGTGGACTATACCTTTGGAAATTGCAGTACGCTTTTTCCATGAGTGTCAACCAAGCAACAGCTTGCTGTTCATCGACAGCATTGGGTTGATAGTCGAACAGAGCCTGTATAAACATTAAATTCTTATCAGTCAAAATTTGAATCATTATCTGGCAAGTCGAGAAAGAACAGTTTAGGACTGATAGAGCTAACCAGTATAAATAAAGTTACAGTTAGTAGTTTAGTTTTTTCATATAAATAAAGTTATGGTTAGTAGTTTAGTTTTTCCATTCACTTTCTATGTTAAGTATAACTATGAAAATTGTTATATATTGTACTGTGACTCACATTAATTAATTGCCCATTAAGCTCTGATGTCACTGCCGTTGATTGAGGGTCACTTTGAAACATCCTGTGTAAAACTTGCATACAATTCATTGACAACATCTAGAAGGTAAAAATAGCATCATTGATGATGCCTTTGGTGGTGACTTTCTCTCAGTTATATTATGCGATGCAATGTTGTATTTTTTATAGTTCACTGCTAATATAAAGGTATAAAATAGTTGTCCAATAGCTCCATCTTTGGCTTCATGTTTTAGACTCAAGTTCTCACTACAGATATACACAGAGCCCACTGGTTCTTAAGCTCTTTTTCAAATTTGTATAACTGTAACATAAACATCAAATTCCTAGTACATACGATATTTCCAAACGTCATCAATTTCAGTATGGTTTCACAGAGAGATTTCACATGCTAAATGAAAAAAAGAAGTAATTTAACAGATTTGTCAAAGTAACATGCTTGACAATATACTGCACTCTTTAATGACGTTCAATAGATGATATGTTACCTGGCTAGGCAATGACGTCACTATGGTCTTCAACAATCCAAGGACATGAAGAACGGAGACAGCTTGAGTTGAGCCTAAAAACATAAATTATGAAGTTTTATTTTGGAGATCAATTCATCCTAAGACAACCATGCCGGGGGTTGAAATGAGCGGACAAGTTTGTTAACATTATGAAGCATGTAACAAGATGATAACAAGTTCCAGACTTGTCACAAAAACAGAGAACAAGCAATGCAAACACATCCTGATACTGGCTTGATAACAACCTTGTTAATATAACTGTTTACAACTCTGTAACAACTTGCACGTTTTTATGTGTGCATGTTTGAACTAGATAAAACTCCTCAACGAACTCTCACTAGTCAACTTTCCAGATGTTCATCGACTCTTATCCTTGTTTGATCCAAGCTCAATAATAATATGAAATACATGTTTATCAGCTTGCTATACCTTTATATTTCTCCAGTTCTTGGATGCAGAATTTAGTCGTTGCCTGACAAGCAGGATGAAATTCTCCCGGATTGCACTTCATGATCGCAGCAACGGATTCTTGTGAACATTTCCGCACCTTTGAAAACGCACAGATTGTATGACAAATGGAATTGTAAATTACAGCAACTTTACTGTTTAATTTAACAGAAGTCTACTACTGTACAGATGAGCTACAGTACTTTTCCTTGATAAATTTTATGTATGACAGCAAAACTTTGACAAGTCTTGTTACTATTCATAACCAATTCTTTTACAAAGACTTCAGCTGTGCAATGATCAAAATTGGAGCTCTTTATGAGAAAAGGTCAAGACCAACTATGTACTGTATTCCTGTTAAAACAGTACTAAAACATGCCATTTGCATTATATAATTATGTATGAGGATTAACCTTTGGTTTTGAATGAACAGTGAAGCTCAACAATCCTTGATATGATTTTAAAGTGGACGACTCTGACCAAACTGTCGCTTCTTGTGCCTTTAAAGCTGTTGCCAAACATGTGACAAGCTAAATCAAGACAGCAAAAATTTAGAAAGCAATAACTTACAATGTACATCTAATCATGAGTAATCACTTACAGATTTCAGAAGCGCTGTTGACTTTGAATCTACTTTTGCTGCCATGATATTCAAAAGGACTTGACAAATGGCAGAAAACTTCACTTGCAAAACTGACTCAGGCACTCTAGGAATGGGAAAATATTGTGATGTCAGAGTCAGGCCTTGCAATGCAATGCAAAGCAAAAACATTTAAGAAAAAAGTTTGAACCTTTTTATAACAAGGGCGAGAAGAAAGGCAATGGCAGCCAATGAGTTGTCATCTTCTGTCGTTTCCAAGGCTGTCATCTATAAACATGATAGATTACAAACTTTTCAGTATAGTATACAATCTTTGTCAATTGCTTTTCAATGTAGCAACACATGTACATTTAACAATAAGTAGCAAAGACCCACCAAAGCAGCAAAATATTCTGTTTCTGTTTCATTGCCACCATTTTTTCTTATAACCTACATTAATTGATACAATTTTAATTAACTGGCCTTTTTTAATTCATTTGGTTCTTAACATGTTGTATCACATAACGAAATTTAACTATTATATACTACTTCTGAAAAATTACCTCAGTAACAGCAGCAAGAACAGCACAAATCTGTGAGAAAAAGATAATTACATTTAACCACTTAATGCAGGGATGGATTTACTGAGGGGTGTGTGCACCCCCCTAGCCCTGGCCAGAGGGGGTGCAGGGGGGTTGCTATTTTTTATGATAAAGAAAAAAGACAAAATGAGATACAGTAATTTGAGTAATAACATGATGATAAGTGAACTGTGAACAACAATTACTGTACAATTCAAATAAAGTAGTTGATGGGTGGGTGGCACACATGATTGACACAACTCGGCAGTCGGCACCAGAGCACCCCTACCAGATCATGCTGGATCCATCCCTGACTTAATGTATTAATACATTTAGGGCACAAAGAATATTCCAGGTACGATAACTACAGAAATGAAAAGGCAGCACCTTAACAGTAAATGTTCAAAGTTTCTATTGAGACATTGAAGGTTTTTTATATGTTCACAGTTTGTTACATCCTTTACCATTAATGCACAAGACTCACCCTATGATGAATAATTATCTGACATGGCAAAATGGGTAGTTCCAGAAATGATCCACACTCCCGCCAAGGAGGACATTTCTGGCATCCGGATGGGGGAGAGAAAAATTTGTTTCCGATTATAGGGTCGATGGGATATATGTTGGTTATGAAAGATGTTGAATGTGGCTTTTGCGGCTTTAAAGAATGACCTCTCCCTCTTATGTGGCACGGGCAAAGCTGACACTATTGAGTATGAGTTGTAAAGTTATGGTATGACTGGGCAGTCTTGTGACACATGTCCGTGCTTTGAAAGTTGAAACATTTCAACTTTCAAAACGTGCACATGTGACCAAATGCTCAATAGTTTCAGCTCCACCCACGCTGGCAAAGCCGATGTAATGGAAGATTTACAAGGAGCTGTAATTGGGTCAAAGTTATCATGTCACTAAAATGCCATGATCTGTGAGGTCGTTGTTGTACACATGAGCAAATACTACTTTAATACCAAGCAAAACATCTGTATTTAAATAGGGCTAAGGGCTTTTAATAGACCCATTGCACATGACGTCACAGTGCCGGTGACAATGCATTGGTAATCTATAGATGCATAATATACCCTGTGAGCAAAGTCCTCTCGTATTTCTTCTCGGCACGGCACGGAGAAGCGAGAGAGACTCTGCAGAATTTGTGTATGTTCTTTGTGGAGCTGACAATCCAAAAACTTGGATAATTATGCGTAATTTCAGGTTGATACCGGTTTTGATCCGAACCGGAAACTACTTATTAAATCTTCTTCTGGGAAATAGGCAGTTGCTAGCAACCTAAAAGCGCATGCTCAAATGAATTTATACACAAGTTCTGCAGAGTCTCTCTCGCTTCTCCGTGCCGAGAAAAAATACGAGAGGACTTTGCTCACAGGGTATGCATAACATAACTTTTATAAACAAGGCAAATTTGTAAAAGCTTATAATAATTTTGTATTAAAATGGTTAATTTTTGCGCTGTATGTGGTTGTTGTACCCGAACAGATGTTGTTAGGGAGCATCTGGAGGACACTCTATAAAGGATTTGTGACGTCAGTGCAACGGGTCTATATTAAGCTTTACTCCTTACTTCCTGATGGTTAGCCCCAGGTGACTGCCAAAACCTCTTCAAAACACCAGAAAATGTTGGGTTAGAACAATCTGTCAATCCGCTAATACTGACAGTAGCCATAGACCTCCCCGTGGTCTCAGCATCGTCCAAAACAATGTCTTCATCGTCTATATTGTCGTTGTGTTTTGCCAGTGCTTCAACCGTAAGACTTGATCCTGCCTGGCTCTCATGTCTAAACCCACGCCTTGCGGCATCTCTGTGTGACTTAATCGAGGGATTTGACGAACAGCTTTGCCGTTTAGCCCAGTTTTTTTTCTTCACTTTTCTTATTTTTACCATTTTCCAACGTCTAAACTGGACTATAAAAAGTAATTCTATGTTGTTGTTTTAAAATTGTTCTCCATGTGAGAAATTTGAGCATGCAACCTTACATTTCCAGCGGTCTACTTTAGGGCAGTACTTCGTTTAACACAAATTTTAAGGATTTTGAAATTTTGTATAGTTTTATATATAACCCAGATATAACTAGGGTGGCCTAGGGTTTAAACCACTGAGCTTTACAAGTAAATGTAAACCATAAACCTTCTAATTAAACAATAGACCATCTAAACCATAGACAATAAACGTGCTTCAAACGCAGGAATTGGCCAAAAAAATATTATTTTGCAAGAAATTTTTGGAGAACCCCCCCGCCCCCTTCACGCCTGATATATTTTTCAAAAATCCCTACAGATTTTGAAGACATACTAATTTCCATGACCCCCTTCAACTATAACACATTCAAAATGCATTTGCTTTCCTGAAACATGATCCGA